TCTTTGGCAAACGTAAAATTCTCCAAAAGGAGTACATCTTTCCCGCGTGTGCTTTTAATCAATGTAGCTGACATTATAGAAATAATTATTGTTTATAAACACTCGAATTACAATCATCAACGTATAAAAACTGACTGAAATATAAACAGTAAACACCCAAAGTAAGTACCTATTAGAATTATTAATAATCAGGTAGGTACCTATTTGTGGGCGGATGTAATTTGCGGGTTTAGGTACCTGAATGCTACTGTGGGCAAAATACCAGTAAGATTAACGCACCCCTTTACTTACACAGGTAGAAAACAGAGATTTGTGGGCAAAAAGGACCCGCCGTCACAACCCACCATAGCTGGAGCGCCATCGGTTGTCAAGCCTACCATTTTCGATATTGGATTTTTCTCGGAAGAAATAATATTTTTTAAATAAGAAAACAACTCCTGTCCAGTAGTGTGTCCTTTCAGTGGAATAAACTTCAAAAGATCTTCTTTAATCGTAAAATCACTAAAAACCATCCTGACGAACACGGGCAGTGTCAACGACATCTGTTAATTCATCCAGTTGAAGTGAAAAATAAACATAGTTATCTAAGTCAGGTCTTAACTGTAAAAAAATATCATTGCTCATTACTTCTACACGTCTCATTACTGTATTAGCAGAAAGTTGCATAGATTTTATAGCTGAAACTATATCGTCTTTATTTCTAAAGTTGGAAAATAACGAATCAGCAGCTTCTAAAAACGCCTGTTTTATCTTTTCCCCGTCTTGATAAGGTTTCTTTTTTTGTACAATTATCTGGGACACACGGTACGATGCTTCAGTTGCAGCCTTATTTTTGTCGACTGTTCTTAAAAATATTGATTGTTGTCCAATTAACTGTTTCAGTTTCTCCTTTCTGGCGGCAGAATGTAGTGGGAATGATTTTTCAAAATTAGAACGTACAGTTTTATGATGTCTCTCAATATTTCCTTTTTTAGCAACGGAGACCGAAGTATTACATAACAAACACACATTTTTATCTTTAACGTCTGTAAAAAAGTATTGTTCTTCCCATTCCGAATGAAAGTGGTAGGTATGTCTTTACCTTCTTACAACTGCTTGCCATAATATTATTTTTGTTGTTCTCTACTAACCCAACCGCTGGACGTTAGTTACGCGTTCAGTTTTAAACTAAGCGCAATGTCGCCGCGCCGTGCGTATTTACCCAGCAAACACACATACGTACATAAGACGTACTATGTACGTACTGATGGGACGTAAAGTACGTACCGTGTACGTACTTTACTGTACGAAGTACGTACATAGTACGTACATAATACGTACATTTTCCAAATGACGGTACGTACCTAGTACGTACTTAAAGTACGTACTCTGTACGTACCTAATGTACGTACTCTGTACGTACCTAATGTACGTACTTTGTACGTACTTAATGTACGTACTGTGTACGTACTTAATGTACATACTATGTACGTACTATGTTTGCACTTATTCCAATAGAGTACATATTCTAGACGTTCTTTTCATCCTTATTGGTACTTACTTATGATGTAAAATGTACATATTAGTACAATACAAAAAAAAAAGTAAACAAGTTAATTTGCATTTTTTTAATTTTTTACATTAAAAGAATAATTTAAATTGTTTTGCTATGTTTTTTTAAAGTTTTTAGACTATCATCAGCTTTCTTAGCCATCTCACAATTTCCTGTTCTGCAACCTTCTTCTCTTTGTATTTGCTACTTTTAACAGCACCTTCTGCAAAGAAATAATATCAAATTAAAAACTTAACTTGGGTACTTTTTATAATAAGTAATATAATAAAAACAACATAACAAAAAGACATAGAGTAAAGTAAGCGATAGTTTCTACGGTTCAAAATTATCATTGTTAATATACTCCTGGATGTAAACCTCTCTAATTTGTATCCACCTCTTTTGGCTTTATGCCTTTGAAATCCAATTTGTTCCTGACACTGCTTTATAATATCGGAACTCCTTCAATTCTTTTTCTCCGCCAGTTTTGAAGTCCAATGGTTGGAAGTACACAATTTCATTAGATACAAAAATAATTGTGACTGGATAGAGGGTTTTTAATGCAACAACTTTATGAAAACTGGCATGCAAAAATAAAAAATCAAAACATCTTACCCACTACAACTGCAGCCAATTATAATTTGTTGCCAGCTGATTATAGTTATTAAGGTAGCAGCCATACTCCTTTTGACAAAATCCAAAATTAAATTATTAGGGTCTGTAAAATATCACTTCTTTTGTCCTCCTGTTTATTCATTTCCTTAAACTTTTTCAATTGTTTTGTAGCATTTTTGTAATGTTTACTATGGGATGGGAGACATATCTATAAATTATATTTATTACACATAATTTTTTAAAATTAAAATGAAACCACTCACCAGAATAAAATGACAAAACTATGTACTTATAACACGCACTAAAAAGTAATTATAATACACTACACAATTATTTATTTAAAGAAACACTTAATAGTTAAATTCTTAAACATAAAAAAAACTAACAATAACAAACTGTTGAAACCGTTGAAACGTGGTTGCTTTAAAAAACGAGCGCGTTTAGTTTAGAGTTTATGTTAGGTTAAATAAAATGTGTTTCTTCTTTGCATTTTTTGTCTTTTTGGCCTACGGTCAACAGAAATTTGGTAAAAACTTAGGTTTTTTAATAAAATAGGTATGCAACCAGGATTACGTACACTTAGGTACGTACTTAGTACGTATTTTTCTGTACGTACTTAAAACGTACATTTTACGTACTGTACCAAAACTGTACGTACTTAAGACGTACTGTGCTGTTTGGGTATCCCGTTCAAAGCAAGCCTGATCGTTCCCGAACACTAACGCGCTGGTCCGGCTGGTCGGTTCTAGCTTGATGGCGTCAGCGGCAGATCGCTCACCGCAACGTTGCCGCTGTTTATGTTTAATATTATGACAATTAGATTTTTTGTGGAATTTTCGGAAGCTTCTCTGATTTTTGCAGTTTGTATTTTTTAAATTAAATTCGTTGTGAGAGCTACCAGAATTGCCTCCGCGAGCTACCGGTAGCTCGCGATCGACAGGTTGGCGACCACTGCTCTAAATAATATAATTTAGCACAATATAAAAACCCTATAATTTTTCCCGCAATAAACTTTTATCAATGAATACCAAAAATATGACAATAACACACAGGCGCGAATTTTCCCACTAATGAATATAAAAGTAATAAAGTAATACCTGTAACCCATTAATGTTAGTCTAAACTCTTCCCCGGAATATCTGAATATTAAATACTAGTTTGATTACTTTAATAGTGCGATTATCGTTTTAATTCTACGTAAATGAAACCTTACAGAAAGAAAAGTATACCGCTGATAAAAGTGTCTACCGGGCGCAAGTTCGTCGGGTCAGCCTTAAGGGTGACGAAATCCACTAATGTCGCCTAGACTAGTACTTTTAATCATTTAGTAACATTTTATAATGTTGAATCGGATATACAAAATATCTGGCGTTTAACTAGACTAGCGTGGTATTACCAGTACCAGTTACGCCAATATTTTAGTTGCTCGGTAGATCCAACCTTACAAAACAGTTCTAGGAGCGAAATCTGGTTCTATTCAACGTGTATCTGCTTGGTCAACCTGACTATATATATCCTTTTACTTATATAAAAAATATAAGAAAAAGGTGGTCATCCTAAGGACAACTAGATATCTATGCAGAAGCCGTCGTTTATTTATAGAAACTAATTTCTCTACTCCGTCGATATCTTTTATTTCCGTTCTCAAAATATAACAAAAGCGCGGCCACCGTAAGGGTAGCGATAACTCTTTTTAATTATATTTGAAGAATATAAAGAAAAAGGAGTCACCGTGGCGGTAACGTGGATATTTGCGTTTTTTGTTAACTTGACTCGGTGAAGAAGAAAAAGCTAATCATCCCCAGCCCACAAAAACCCGGGTATTTATACTTAAATTTCCCATATATGCAAATGTATCGGAAAGAGAACGGTGCATAAAGACCTTAAAGCTTTGTATTAATTCCTGAATATAGCCCTAAAGTTTTACATCTGTTTTGTTCTAGCGACCATTATAGTCTAACGTCGACTTCTTTTCCCCGAATTAATTTAAACGGCGCCTACGAGGCGGGATACGCTGGGATGTTGTTTGAATTCGAAAATAAAAATTTGAATATATGTAATATATAAGAATTATTTAAATTAATTATCAACCCCCGGTTGTCGGATTTCAATATCATAACATTTTGATAGTTTCCAATATTTACGTTTTCGTCGCCATAAAAATCAGGAATGGTCTCCGCGTGAACCTTTTGAAAGTTAGAGGGAGGAGTCATGTGTCACTTTATTAAAATTATTTAGATAATTATTATCGTTAATATTAATTGAATTAAAACTTTCAATTACTAAATCTAGCTTGAAATCGGATTCGTGATCACTGAAGGATAGGGAATCGATGTTAGACGAGTCTGACATAAAAGAAAAATAAAACTTACAGTACGGTTTTTGTTTGCATCGAAAGTCCGGCTGTCGTCTTAACTATGGAAGTCTTTGGTAGCACCACAAAACTTTTCTCGCGCTGGAATGTTCCAAATTAGTGCGAAACGTTGAAAGTTCGTAATTGTCACTTAACTATTAAAATAGCGGAAGTTATCCACGTCGGATTCTTCGTGACAATCCTACTGACTGCGCCACAAATATAATACGATTTGAAAAATCGTTTTTTTTTAATATTTTTATTTAAACAACAAGTACAATATTTTTATGACTTTATTAATTGCAAGCCAACATCAGACTGAAAGTAAAATAAAAAAATGTTACAACACTTGTTCAGAGATAACAAGTAACTTGAACTGCTGGCTGGTGGAATTCTCGAAACTTCTCGACAGGTCAGCGGTTTCTATTATGTAATTTGCAGCAGTTGAATAAAGACAAGCATAATGAAACACGTAAAATAATCTTGTTTTTTTTTTTATTAGCGAGAAGTACCACTATCGGTGAATATTTTCATATCACTTCTCATTTTAAATAAGACGCGATATTCTAAATGTATCAAATTAACTATTATAAATAAGTTATCCTTACAAGAACGGTTTATTGAAATTTTTTGATGAATACATCAATCTATACAATTGTTTCGTGACCTAAAATAAAAATTATCAGTAAAAAAATTCACAGCATACACAAAATTGACAGATTTCTACAGAAAATCACAACTCATATACAAAATATTTTATAAAACTATTTTCAAATTACACACTAATGTTTACCACTAAGTCTAACAAATTCTTTAAAAGCTTCTTGAATTTCCTCGTCCATTTCAGGTTCAGGATCACATAATTCGTCTGGATCGAAGTCCTCGCTAAAAAAATATGAAATTACTTCTTAAGTGAGTTGGGAATAAAAAAAACTATTTTTCTTTAGCTTGAGACCTAAATATTTCGACCGAGAGGACCCAAATTGCAAAATTTTAACAAAAAATCCCTCTTAAATGATTGGTACAAGGATTTCAAAATAAAAACCTTTTATTATTAATATTACATTACCAAAAAATATCATACCTGTCAAAATCTTCATTGGCAGTCATATGTGTAGCTATAAATTCACTCTCTTCATTAGTCAATCCCTCTCCATCTAAGTCATAATAAACTTGATTTTCCATTCCATCAAATGAGGTGTCAGATTCTTGTTCTAAACTAAAATTCAACGTGTTCTTATAGTTATTGTATTAGAAAATTAAATAATTTTTATACATTAATTTACAGGTTTGACTTATAAATATTGATTATCCAAAATAGTTGTAAACGATTACAAAAATCCATCAATGATTTGCATGATTTTCTAATGAATTATGTATGGGGGCATTTTTTAAATTGTATAAAAAGAAAATTATGAATGTAATATGTTAATCATGTTCTACAGTCCACTAAATTAAAGAAGTTAGAACACCAGAACCATATCTCAAAGCTATAATATATTTTATAAAACTTACTCAGATGTTTCTTCAGAAGAATGACCCCAATTTGATGCTCTCAATTGGAAAACAGTTTCCAACAGCATACTAGCGGATCCATCTACCTTTCCTCTAGCTGATTTTAGATCGTCAAAGACTTTATTTAAATCTACTTTATTGCTCTGTTCCAAAGAATAGCCAGTTAACTACAAAAAATAGCGACTTATAATTTGTCAAGGTTTCTACCATAAAAAAGAAAACTGTAAGAATGCAATCGTGTGCCACTTCTGTAGTGAAAAACATGAAGCTAGCTTATGTCCAAAGAATAAAATACTCTGTAAGAACTGTAAAACTTCTAACGAAAAATATAAAACTGAGTACGACTACAACCATTCTGCAATGGATTTGACTTGTCCCTCTTTGAAATATCATCAAATGATATTGCAAAATAAAACCGAGTATACAGATCAATAACATAACGTAACTAATATTTGTACACACATTCAAATAGTTCATGATTATTAATCAAGAAAATAATCTATTAAATTAATGAAGTCATTGATGTTGCTAATATTACAAATAAAATTAATTTAAATGAAACACTCCTAAATGTCTTACATTTCAATATTAGGAGTATTAAAAAGAATTTTGATGAGTTGTTAGTATTTCTAGAAAATTATAAAATTAATAATTGTGATATAATAGTTTTGACTGAATGTTTCCAATTAGAATCTATTTCTCAATTTAACCTAGATGGCTTCATCACCCATTATAACAATGGTAACATTAACAGAAATAATGGTGTTGTAATTTTGGTCAGGTCAAATCTAAATGCAGAATTAAATATAGTTAAACTGGAATATTTTGATATTTGTGTCACTAAAATAAATCTAAAAATCAATCATCGGACCATTGGCATTACAGGTGTATACAGGTCTCCTCAAACCTCTGCACAAGCATTTATAAGGGATTTAGAAAATTTCATACCATATCACCTAAATAGAAATATTGAAATATTCATAGGGAACATTTATATTGATCTCCTAAATGTAACCAATCAAGTAACTACTGATTACCAAGCAACTTTTTACTGCCATGGTTTCATGTCTTACATAAACACTATTACGAGGCACAAAGTAAAACATGCTTAGATCATATATTCTTAAAAAACAATATTAAGACTGAAAATCTATCGGTGCTCTTATGTAATCAGCTATGTTATGACTAGAGCTAGGAATATATGCAAAACGCCATATTTTGCATATGTTGCACATATATATATATATACAATTTTTGATTTTGAATGCATATATTGACATTTTGTTAATTTTTTGGCATATATCTGACGTACTAATTGGCTGGACATATTATAAAATTATGAGTTTTGGACTAAAATAATATTTTGTGAAATGCCTTTACAGGTCGATTTCCTAAAATTTTGAAGGATTAACTTTTCCCTGTAATAAATTACGGTTAATGGTGTAGGTACTTGAGAGGATTAAATTATAAACACCCTCCTTAAACCAACAAATTTTGCTAAATATCCTTTCAGGTAGTTGTATTAATATCTTCAAATTTCTAAATGACTCAGTTTACTTTCAACTTCATTTCAGTCTTTATTGTTGTGTTGTGTTAACCAGTGGGAAAATGGCAAAATTAATTGAGTCGTGGGTAAAATCTTATTCAGATTTTGTTGTAGAAGGTGATAACCAGGTGTTTTGTAAAACATGTTCTAAAATTGTAAGCACTTTTTTATTTTATGTTGTATTTTGACCTTTCACAATGGTAAATCAAACGACAGTAAAATATTATTTCAACTCACAGTTAAAAAAAAAGTAGGGCAACTTTACAACGTACGCATATATTTAATTTAATTAAAGCTTCAACATCTACAGGAATTTATTTGTTTTAGATTCCATGTAAAAAAAAGTTTCAAATCGACCAACACGCGAAAACACCCTCACATATAGCAAAGCAGAAATCTAAAGACACTCGCAGACAAAGTCAACTTCCCTTGAAACAATATTTAGAATCTGGATCGTCTAGAAGTGAACAAGCTATTTTTAATGAAGATTTATGCAAAGCTTTAGTGACTTCGAATATCCCTTTAATACGATTAAATAATCCAAATCTCCGATCATTTTTGCAAAAATATTGGAAATTTAATATTCCAGAGCAAAGTATATTACGCAAACGTGGTGTTGACAGTTTGTACATTGAGACTCGTGAAAAAATTCGTGAGATTACCGTTGGAAACCATTTTTACATTATTGTGGATGAAACAACAGACTCTTGTGGTCGATATATAGCCCATTTAATGATAGGTTCATTACGCGAAGAAATACAAATTGGTCCATATCTAATCGCTTCAAAGCAATTAGATAAAACAAACAACTTGACAATAACTCGTTTTATCCAGACAGAATTGTCTTCCTTTTTTCTTCCGAAAGCCGTTCCAACAGAAAAATGTTTATTGCTGTTATCCGATGCTGCCCCGTACATGGTAAAAGCCGCACAAAATTTAAAAATGTTTTATGAAAACTTAATCCATGTTACATGTTTGGCTCATGGCCCTTAACAGAGTTGCAGAAGAAATTAGGTCTAACTTTCCTTTAATAAATGATTTAATTAGTAATGTAAAAAAAATATTTCTTAAAGCTCCTCTAAGAACTCAATTGTACAAAGAAAAATTTCCTGAATTACAGATGCCACCGGAACCTGTGATTACTCGGTGGGGTACCTGGCTTAAAGCTGCCTTTTTTTACGCAGATAATTATGAAAAAATTAAAGAAATCATATTTGATTTTGATGATTCATCTAAGGGAATATCTAATACAAAGAAGTTGTTTCAAAATCACATATTATCAAAGCAATTAGTGTTTTTAAAAAATTATGCATTTGTACCCAAAATTATATTAGATTTAGAACAAAAAAATTTACCTTTGGTGACTTCCGTAAATTTAATCAAGACGTTTGAATCAGAGTGTAAAAATGTCCAGGGCGATATTGGAAAGACGATTTTTCATAAATTTTCAAATGAAATTTTAAAAAATGAAGGATTTATTGTTTTAAGAAACCTTGCCAATATTTATTCTGGTAACTTTGAAGATATTAATACTATTCATCCAGATATTTCAGGAAAATTTAAGTTTGCACCTATTACTTCTGTAGATGTCGAAAGGAGTTTTTCTTTGTACAAGTACATACTTACTGATAAGAGACAATCATTTAATACAGATAATTTAGAAAAACATCTAATTGTTCATTCGTTTTATAATAATGCTGATTTGTAAATAAAATTAGTTAATAATTAAATAATTATTAAGTATTATATTAGGTATTGTAAAATAAAACAAATAATAAATATTAATAAACTATTTCGATCAAATAACAAATTACTCTTATTGCATATGCTCTGCATATTTTTCAATTTTTTATGCATATATTGAAGTATTTTGTGGCATATATATGCGCATATTTAACTACTTTTTGGGTGCATATATTCCTAGGTCTAGTTATGACTGATCATGATCCTATTATGATAAATATCTCACAATCTGCCAAAAACTACACAAGTTCCTACAATACATATAAAACTATAACTAAAATCGATACTGATAAATTAAAACAAAAATTCGAAACTGTAAACTGGGAAAGTGTTTGCAATGAAAATAATCCACAACTTTTTTATGACACATGTCTTAATATCATTGAAATATGTCAAACCACTCAAAATATTAAAATTAAAATCCATAAAAAAATAAAGCCATGGATAAGAAATGGTTTAATTAATTCTATTAAAACTAGGGATAAACTTAAAAATGATCTACAAAAAACTATACTATTAACAAACAAACTCACTATAAAACATTTAGAAAAAATTTAAACAATTTAATATCAAAAATTAAAAATGACTATTATAACAATAAAATAAACCAAAACAAAAATGATCTGAAAAAAACTTATCAATTAATCTCTGAAGCAACTAATGAAAATCATAAAAAAAATACCAATTTACAGATTGTTAACCAACATAATAAGGAATTTGAAAATGATAATGAAATGGCGAATTACTGCAATAACTACTTTTCGACTATTGGCACTAATATGTTCACAAATATCCCTGAATGTAATGTGGATTTTGTAATGAAGTCAATTTTCATTACTATATTTCGGCATATTCCGGATATAAATTTTAATTTTTATTTTAACTTCATGGGTAGACCCTGTATATCAAATTTTGTTTCATTTAAATTCGCGCATTATACCTGAGTTACGATAGCGCGCTCGATCCGCGCACATCGAGTGGGGAGCTAGCCTGCTTGGGCATAGAGACTCGGAATCAGCATTTTTAGTATTAAAATATTAAAAATCATTCATTCACTTTACTGATCTCGACTAGCTTGATTCCATTTTTCCGACCTCGTTAAGTCTGCTTCGTTATACGCCGTAATAATATTGCAGAGACCGCAGTTAGGTACACCGAATTCATGTTTACGTTTTTTTTTTCTGTCGTCGGTTCTTAAGCTAAACGTTCGAATACCAGTTTTATTTGATTAAATTATTCCGTTTTCAATTTTATTTAATAGAAATAATAATTGACTTTAGATTTTCGTTAAAAATATTTTGATTTTCAGATAAATTATTTATTTTTGATTTTATTTAGAAACATTGGAAATTAGTTTTGATTATTAGAAAGTAGAAATTTTGTTTCTATTTTATTAATTACTTAATTTTTATTGCGACCGTGGATTGTTTCTATTTTAGAGTAATAGTAAACCTAAATTTAAATTAAATTCCGTATACAGTTAATTACTTAATTTTCATTGCGACCGTGGATGTTGTTTCTATTTTTAAGTAATAATAAATTTAAATTAAATTCCATATATAGTAAATTACTTAACTTTTACTACGACCATAAATTTTGTTTCTATTTATTCACAATCTGGTTTAACTTTTTTTTATTATTTATGTTTCTTTACTTGGGAAAGTTGGAAAGTTGAAATAGTATCATTTTTCATGTTGAGTGGACTGGTTTTGGCGAGAAAGCTCACATGGGATTAGCTACTATCCCGGTTTTAGATTTTTTTAGATTAACCCCTAGCCTTGATTAACATATTAGTGTTTTTCTTGTTTGAGAGGGCTGGTTTTGGCGAGTACATAGGATAAATACTGACCCGGTTTAATATTTTGTCTTATGTTTGAGCGGACTGGTTTTGGCGAGTACACTCCTCATAGGATTGATACTATCCCGTTTTCTTATTATTTATCTATTCCCTGTTCACTAACACAAGGAGGTTTGTTTCAGTTTCAATACCGACTAGATAGTTAACCAGATAACTTTTTCTACGACCGTGATTTTATTTCTGCTTTTACGAAACAAAATTTCACTACTGGCCCATCTGTTTGTTTTTCTTTTTGTTCAGGGTTTTAAAAATACGAGCGAGGGTGGGCGTTGAAATATTACTTACAAATTATTTATTGTAAATAGTTAAAATTCAATATATGTGTCAACGTTACCTTGACTATTACTGATGTTACTGATCCCTAATTTACTTCCCCCTTTATTTCAGCAGTGAGAAATTCTTTATCACCACAAGTCACGATTAAAGCCCGTTACTTGTGGTTACTCATTACCTGTGTCTGAGTGACCAACGACCCCTGGAATTTTTCATCTCCATCTGTGCTGCCCTAGTACTTTCGACGCCGTTTCGAAAGTTTGTGGAGTAAACCACACATAAAATCTGGCGCCCGAGAGCCGTCCCGTCAACAGGCGTCATTTGTAAGTAATCGTTTTCTCTGAGGCGAGAAAACCCCTTACAATTTTCCTGTGTCACTGAAAAATCAATGTTTCTGAAACCGATATGCAGAAACGATATTATAAATCACATAAATAGTTTAAAAAACAATAGTGCCCTGGGGTTTGATTGTATAACAGTAAAACATCTGAAACTACTACATCCGTATTTACTGGAACCTTTAATGCATATAATTAATTATATTTTTAATACAGGAATCGTACCTAAACAATTTAAAACTTCAATTATAACACCTATTTATAAAGCTGGTAATACAAAATTAATAACTAACTATAGGCCTATTAGTTTAATTAGTAATGTAGCCGAAATATTTGACAAATGTGTGAAAGACACTGACAGATTTTTAAAAACTAATGACTTACTTCCCATGCACCAATATGGCTTTACTGATGGTCTTAACTCAGGAGATGCTATGAATGAATTGATTTCATATGTTACTGATGAAATGAATACTGGTAACAAGTGTATAGCTATATTTCTAGATCTAGCAAAAGCATTTGACACAAAGCCACATCAGAAGCTCTTAAATGTTCTTGAACAGAATAGAGTGAGGGGCATCGTGTTGAAGGTTTTTGAAAATTATTTGACACACAGGAAACAGAAGGTAAAGGTCAGAGACAATGTGAGTAACCCTGAAAATATACAAATCGGAGTGCCTCAAGGGACTGTTCTGGGGTCTATACTATTTAATTTATACATTAAGAGATTAACTCAGATTGATATTCAAGGTAAAGTTGTATCATATGCTGATGATACAGTGCTAGTCTTCAGTGATAAAGATTGGGAACAGGGCCTCCGAGAGCCAGGCCGGGTCCCAGGACAATTCTCTAGATCGGGCCCCGTGAGAAATAAAAAATATTCTCTCCTCTTAATGAAATTTCTCTACAAAAAAAACTCTTTTGCCGAACTTCTGAAAGAAAACAAAAATCCTCGCCGCGGTTGCCGGGTCCCCATAATACCGCTGTCGGGCCTCCATTTGAGTCCAGGGCCCCGGGAATTAGTCCCGGCTGCCCCTCCCCCCTCTAGTCGGCCCTGATTGGGAAGCCGTCAAGACACGTGCTATAGCTGGAATGGAACATGTCAAAAACTGGCTGGATGTTTTTAAATTGTCTTTGAATGTTAACAAAACAAACTACACTGCTTTTTCAAAGACAGTGGCTGATCGACCTCAATTTAGAAGCTTAACATGTCAAAATTTAGACATACAGGAAACAGAAACATCCAAATATTTAGGTATAATTATAGACCAGCACTTAAAATGGGACTGCCATATAATATATATAGCAAAAAAACTTAGATTTCTGATTTATAAATTTTATCTTCTAAAACAATTTCTCAACCAGGATCTACTAATAACATTATACTACAGTCTAGTAGAATCTATACTACAGTATGGAATCTAGAGAAACCAGATATACCTGCTACTTGCTTTATAAATATACCACAATTAAAAAATTCAATGTTTTTTAAGCCAGTTACCCAAACCGATATAGAAACAATTGTAGAAGATTTAAAAAATAAAAGAACAGAGGATATTGATGGATTTAATGTATTTATAATGAAAAATGTATTTCTTTTTTGTCTGAACCTTTAACTATAATTATAAATGCTTGTCTAACTGAAGAAATATTTCCTGATAGCATGAAAATTGCTAAGGTCTGTCCTCTATTACAAAAAAAGAGACCCTTCTCAGCCTTGCAACTTCAGAAAAATTGCTGTACTTCCCATATTCTCCAAAATCTTGGAAAAAAATTATGTATAATAATCTAATATCATATTTCCAACATACTCACACCATTCCAGTATGGTTTTAGAAGGGGGTGATCTACAATAGATGCAGTATTATCTCTAGTACAATATATAGAAAATTGTTTTGAAAAAGCTAAAAACTGTTCAGGTGTATTTACAGATCTAAGCTCTGCTTTTGACTGTGTGGATCATTCAATTCTATTATCAAAACTGGAGAGGTATGGAGTGTGAGGGATTTGTTTACAGCTTTTTGACAGATGTCAAACAGTCATCATTAAAAATTGCAAAAGTTCATTGATGCATATCAGGAGAGGTGTCCCTCAGGGCTCAATTTTAGGTCCATTACTCTTTTTGATATACATTAATGATCTTCCTGACCATATGCATTTTGAAAACCTTATCACTTGTATATTTGCTGATGATACTTCTTTTTGTATTAATACTAAAAGAGGAACAGATCATGATCAAGTTTACTCTGATGTCATGATTCAGGCAAAGAGGTGGTTTTCTGTAAACGACCTGTTTTTAAATGACACAAAAACTATCTCCCAATTATTTACAATAAATAGTGAACAAGTTAATAACAATTTTGTTAAAACACTTGGCATTCAAACTGATCCACATCTAAGATGGATAGATCATATAGAAGCACTTTGTTCCAAATTAGCACAAGCAGTTTTTGCTATCAGGAAAATACACCAAATATGTGGTCAACATGCAGCAATTACTGCGTACTATTCTCTATTTCATAGTCATTTGACATACAGGACGATATGTTGGGGCAATGCTGCTGACACACATATCTCAAGAGTCTTTATTTTGTAAAAATCAGCCATAAGAGCCATAACACGTGCTTCTTGGCAAGCCAGTTGTAGACCAGTATTCCCAGAACTTAAAATTATGACACTCTATACAGTAATAATCTATCAAAACCTTCTATTCATAAGAAATAATATTACACATTTTTTTTCTCACTCAGATATCCATAACTATAATACAAGGCACAAAGATAACTTAGTCCCTATCCAGTATAGACTGGAAAGGACAAAGAAATATTATATTGAACTATACAATATACTACCACTTAATTTTAGAAATCAGCCTATAGATAAATTTAAACATGCATTAAAACAAATGTTATCCAATAATTGCCTATATAGCCTAGAGGAATTTAATTCAATACAGATGGAGGATGGAGATTGTCACTGTGGCCTCTGAGTGATTCAGTGAACTATGTTGTAAATGTTTGTAAATTTCAATTTTATATTTTTATATTTAGGTAAATTCTATTATATATATTTAGTTTTAATTGTAATTTGACGAGCCATAAAATGTAATATTTTCTCAGGTAAATAAAGATATTGTATGATACAGTGCTAGTCTTCAGTGATAAAGATTGAGAAGCCTTTAAGACACATGCTATAGCTGGAATGGAACATGTCAAAAACTGGCTGGATATTTTTAAATTGTCTTTGAATGGTAACAAAACAAACTACACTGCTTTTTCAAAGACAGTGGCTGATCGACCTCAATTTAGAAGCTTAACATGTCAAAATTTAGACATATAGGAAATAGAAACATCCAAATATTTAGGTATAATTATAGACCAGCACTTAAAATGGGACTGCCATATAATATATATAGCAAAAAAACTTAGATTTCTGATTTATAAATTTTATCTTCTAAAACAATTTCTCAACCAGAATCTACTAATAACATTATACTACAGTCTAGTAGAATCTATACTACAGTATGGAATCTTAGTATGGGGAGGCCTGTATGGAACTACATTAAATCAGTTAAATGTTATTGTGTCCTACCATAACTTTATATAATGAAAAAATTAGCAATGTTAGATGTTTATATATTCATGCAGTGTGTTGTTATATACAAAAATATGAATTTTTAAAAAACCCTTTAGAACATAGACATAACACTAGAACTGCATTGAACATGTGCATTAAAGTACCAAAACCAAATAATGAGTTTGTTAAAAACAGTGTAAATTATCTAGGGACAAAGTTCTATAATGCACTACCTCTTCATATAAAATTATTAAACAAATATAAAAAATTCTGTAAAGTTAGCAAAATATACATTTTCCAAAATAATGCAAAGTTTATCAGAATATTCCAAGAATAATGGACTTTTTTTTTTTAATTTCCTTTATAATTCATTAAATATAATTAAAATAAAATTTTAATTTTTGTCAGCACATACAGGTGTTCTCACCTAGGTGCTTGTTATTATATAATTTGTTTCCATTATTATACTTTATTGTAACTTTATTATTGTAACTCATTGTAACTTATAACTATTAAAATATTATTAAACTTTAATGTTTATTAAAGCACTTACCTTCAATGCTTGACATATGCACTTAACATTCTCATTGCCTCCATATTCGATTAATTTTTTAAAAGCACTTATTAATAAAGATCCATATACACTGGCATGAGGCAGTTGGGAATATAGTTCTGCAATTAAAGGTAAAACATTTTTCGCATCAGGATTCTCTTCTATTTGTTTTTTGCATTTTAAATGTAACTCAGCACGAAATCCTGGAAAATTTGGTTCAATGTACCAACATAATCTTGCTCCTGTATACCTAAAGTTTGGGTGATTTATCGCCTAAAAAATAAATAAAAAAATTCTTGCTATATATTTTTATCTTAGGTACTCTTAAAGTTTGTTACCTGATCAACAATAAGTTCTGCCACAGAAGACATTGCAATTAAATCCTCAAGATAGGGTTCAAGAGTCTCCATAAATATCTCAAATAAATTATGAAATTGTCCTGGATCTTTTGTGAGTGTAGCAATAATTTGGTTTAGTCGATTGAAATCAGAAGAATAATCACTTGAATTGTCACCACTATCATTTACTGTCTCAGTATAATTTTGTTGTTGTGCTTTATGTATATTCAAGCGACTTTGCATTTTACTGGGTACATTTTCAACTTTATTAATATAAACATTCTGAACAACTGGCTCTGATGGATACCACTCTGGGGCAGCAACTCTTAATTTAGAATTAGCCACTAATAGTTCTAATTCTCTTTCAGTGTTTTGTTCCATAGATTCATTTAGTGCATCATTAAGATTATTTAGTTGCAAGGAATTTACTTGAGTTGTCTGCTGCGATGAAAAAAAACTATTTGTGGTAATTGTTTTAGGTTCCCTCGTCTGCTGTGGCGCTGAAAAACTACTTGTAGGAATTGGTCTAGGTTCTCGCATCTGCAGGGATGCTCCATAACTGTTTGCAATAGTTGTTCTGGGTTCTATCTGCTGTGATTCTGAATAATTAGTATAACTACTTGCAGTAGTTGTTCTAGGTGCCCTCATCTGCTGTTGTGCAGAATAACTACTTATAGTAGTTGTTCTAGGTTGCCTGAGTGAAGTCTGCAATTCATCAGATTCTTTTTCCCACAAGACTTGTTTATGATCCATTATGTAAATGATATAAAGTATGTCTTTTCTACAAAATGTGTATGCACATGCCAGAAAAAATGTTACTTGTAGACAGCATAACCAGAAAAACAAAATACTTTTATAATTTATAAATATTCAAGGAAAAAGGAAATGTATTTGACAATATGACTTGTGACAGATGACAGTGTGACGTGTGACTTGTAACCAATGATACATATCTGTATATAGATCGGTCATCCATCCATATTCAGATGAATGAAAAACTGGTACTTTTAAAAAGGCCGTTGTGTTAAACGAAGTATATAACTAAACGAAGATCAAAATGACATTGTTAATGTAAAAATAATATTAATTTTCGGTTGGTGCGAAGTCATGGTAGGGGAAACAAAAGCGAGAATAACGCTAGGAGAATAACGCTAGCTGCGAATAAATCGTGCATTTTAGGGCGATATTTTATAATTTTGGAATGTCAACCACACGTATACATTTTACTTTTTCTCAAAAAAAAAAAAAAATCTGATGTGTCCAACACATGACTTTCCTATCTAGTTATTATAGGCTTTTTCCGGTTATTTTGTACAACCTATTGCAGCACATATATAAATGTTTAGAGGATAAACTAAATATATACATTTTCCATATACATCTAACTCGAAACATTTTTCTATAGATATTCATTGAACACGAAAATACTGAAAAATGAAAATTTAGCACTTTTCCTCCAATTTTTCCATTACGGTTCATTTTAAAAAAAATCATGTAAAATACAAAAATTATAGAGATCGATATCGCAAATAACTTTTAGTTTAACAATTTTCTTAAAAATCAGAAATTTGCACATTTTGTCAAATTTCTCGAATACGGACCATTTTAGAAAAATTTGGCATAAAGCAAAAATTATACACAATAATATTAGAAGTAAATTTTATTTGAATAATTTTCTCCAAACATAACAGATATATTCTATCAAATATAAAAACGACCTACTATAAAGTACCCCCCAGATGTTCCGACTTTGTCCAAAATCTAATCATTTCACCTCAGGCCGAAACAAAACTTAAGTTTAAAATTTAATGTTTTTTCCTTTATCTATTTTTGAGTTTTCTTCAAAATTCGTAATTTACACATTTTCTCAAATATCTCGAATACGGTCTATTTTAGAAAAATGATGTATGGAATAAAAATTATAGCAAATTATATTACAAAAAACTTTTATTTGAACAATTTTTATAAAAAAATATTTTTTTTTATATTTTGCCAAATTTCTCGAATAAGACCATTTTAGGAAAATTTTGTATGAAACAAAAATTATAGATAATAATATTGTAAGTAACTTTTATTTTAAGAATTTTCTCCTTTAAACGTAAATAATAGATATATTTCATTAAATATAAAAATGACCACCTATAACCCCCCCCCCCCCAGATGTTCCGACTCTGCCCAAAATCTAATCAGTTCACTGGAGGCCGGAATAAAGCTTAATTTTCAAATTTTAAGCCATAAAAATATATAATAATAATAAATTAATGTTTCACTCGTTCTAAAAATCCATATACTTTTATAAAAACTAACATATATACTTTTAATGAAAATTGTATTGTCATTATACGCAAAAATAGTCCATTAGTACATAAATGAATTGGCGCTGCTGTCACGCACGGAGCGAATAGCGATTTCTTCGGCGAGGCACTTATATAATTTCGGTCGATAATAAATTTGTTTGATCGTATAAGGACCGATTCCACATGGATTCCACCGTTGTGTTAAGCGGATCGATCCTAAAATGCACGATTTCTTCGCCTAGCGCTATTCTCGCTTTTGTTTCCCCTACCATGACTTCGCACCAACTGAAAATTAATATTAATATCATTTTGATCTTCGTTTAGTTATTTAAACTTCGTTTAACACAACGGTGGAATCAGCCCTTTTAGGACCGATTCCACCGTTGTGTTAAACGGAGATTAAAATGACATTTTTACATTAACAATGTCATTTTAAACTTCGTTTAACACAACGGTGGCATCAGTCCTAATAGACGCAAGTAGAAAAAATACATCAGCCTTTTTTTAAATCAAAACAATAACTGAACGTACTCATAACCTAGAGTTACTTCTAGTGTTTTTTATTTTTTGAATATGGCTGAGCTGGAAAAATGAAGACTGACGAATGACACTTGTCACAAAATGCAATGAAGTGAAATGAACTGTGACAAAAGTAATGACATGACATGGTGGATTGTAGAAAGTGGAAGTTGTTTATAAATTTTAATATTTTTGATAAATATTCAAGGGAACTATAAACGTTGTGCATAATAGTGTCTTCGTTTAATTAATCAAATCAACCAGTGATCATCATCTGTAAAATGTAATGTGAACATGTCAACAATTAAGTAATTAAAAGTAGTAATGGCAGACCATTTTTTAATAAAATACATTTCGTAAAGTTCGTGTTTGTGAATTCTTTTATAATAAATATTTCACAATGTTTAGGATTTCGAAAGCTGTTTTAGTACTTAGTTACTTCTTCTGCTACTGCCAAAACTTTATTGGTAAGTAATTTTTCGGCAACCTCAATAGTATTACCAATGTTCTTACAAAATTGTGCATCTAATTAAGTTTGCAAACTGTATGTGAAAGTATGCCTAAATAGTATCATTTTTTATTAATAAACAAAACTAATTTGAACGTAATAATTTGTAATATTTATAATCAAAAATAATTGTTTATTGGTATTTTTATATAAATTGTATTAGATATTTTCCTTATTGGGCACAATTTTAAGAAACCATGTATAAAAGTTAAATAATAGTACAAATTGTCATACATTTACCCAGAGCTTTAAATTTTTCAAAAGCATTTGAGACCATTCTAATATATTATTCATTAGAGGTAAATTGAAGAGTTCTAGTTAGGTCGACAATTTTATGTCCAATAGTGAATAGTGTGTCAAAATTCAAATTTCTTTGGGGAGTACCATAGAGTTCTCACTATTTATCAGTGATATTAGTTAGGTATACAATTGACCTAATAATGTCAATAGCAACCAAAGGATATAAGGTTAGTACACATACTAAATTGTTTCTTCGATTAATCCACACTGTTTACTATATTCTAACAGTTTGTTTGTAAATAAAAAATATAAAATTAAAGCTAGGTTTAGCTATTGGTTGTGTACAAATTAATCAAATAGAAGCCCTATCGAAAAAAATAGTAAATTTCAGTGAAACAAATTGAGAAAAAGCTTTTTAGTTAAGTATATAAGAACATATTAACACATACAAAATGAATGAAGTTTATGTGAACTTCATAAGATATAAGGCTACCCATTTAAGACCAATAAATTTGATTAGTGCGTTGGAAAACTAATAGAAAAAGTAATATATCTTCAAATTATTGATTATTTAGAGGGGAACAGTTTGATAAGTAATGTGTAATCAGGATTCCCTAGTAAACACAACTGTGAAACTGCTTTACACTTGGTGTTGCATGATTGGAAGTTACCAATTGAAAATAATTTGGTTACACTGGTGGTGTTTTTAGATTTACAGAGGGCATTTGATAGATAGATAGAAATTTATTGATGTAAAATATAAATAAATAACATATTAAAACATACCTAAAATATAAAAATTAAAAAGGTATATTCACCAAAAAGGTTTACACATTACTCACATGCACAGGTGGACACATGTGATAAGAATTCATCAATGGAATAAAAGCAGTGACTCGACAAAAATTTGTGAATTCTTATTTTAAATAAACTAAAAGATGAATTTTTATAAGCTTAAGATAGGGAATTGTACAGTTTAATGCTGATATATCTATAAGAATCATGAAGTTTGGTTAATCTGTAATTAAGTAAAGATATATCATAATTTCCTCTGGTGCAATAAGAATGTTTAGAGCTCTGTCTTATAACATTATTATTACCAATTTGTTTTTTCATGTATAAAAGACACTCTAAAATAAAACAACATGGTAGTGGTAAAATACCCAACTGTTTAAAAATAGGTTGGCAGTAGCTACTCTATGTCATGATACTTATTACTTTTTTTGTGCAATAATAGTTATAAGTTACAATGAATTTTAATAATAAATAAGTTACAATAAAGTACAACAATGGAAACCAATTATATAATAACAAGCACCTAGGTGAGAACACCTGTATGTGCTGACAAAAATTTAAATTTTATTTTAATTATATTTAATAATAAAAAATAAAACTTGAACAATTTATGCAAGGTACAGAAAAAAAAATCCATGTATTAAGTCCGTTATTCTTGGAATATTTTGATAAACTTTGCATTATTTTGGAAATTGTATATTTTGTTAACTTTACAGATTTTTTTATATTTGTTTAATAATTTTATATGAAGAGGTAGAGCATTATAGAACTTTGTCCCTAGATAATTTACACTGTTTTTAAAAACTCACTATTTGGTTTTGGAACTTTAATGCACATGTTCGATGCAGTTCTAGTGTTATGTCTATGTTCTAAGCATTCTAAGGGGTTTTTTAAAAATTCATTTTTTTGTATATAGCAACACACTGCGTGAATATATAAACATCTACCATTGCTAATTTTGTCAATATATAAAGTTATGGTGGGACACAATCTATCTCTTTTATATATTAACTTTAAGATTTTGTTTTGAATAACATTTAACTGATTTAATGTAGTTCCATACAAGCCTCCCCATACTAAGATTCCATACCATAATATAGATTCTTCTAGACCAGCTGTACTCAACCTTTTGTTCTTTCAGGCCACATAAATCTGTTTGTTATGCTACACGGGCCACAATATTTTTGGGTGATAACTAGAATTGCCACCTTTTTGAAATGTAAATAAAACACAATGGACGACGATAGGGATCTGCTTTAAATATTTTCTAAAAAAAAGCCTCATATTGTGTTTTAGTTTACATATTTACTAAAAAAAAGTCCTCATGTTGTTTTAATAAGATTTGAGACAATTTGTTTCAAAAAAAGACCTATAGGTCATTCCTAATAATACTGTTTGGTGCTGCACAAGAAAGCTTGAAGGGCCGCACAAAACAGCTTGGAGGGCCGCATGTGGCCCGCGGGCCGCAGGTTGAGTATGGCTGTTCTAGACTGTAGTATAATGTTATTAGTAGATCCTGGTTGAGAAATTGTTTTAGAAGATAAAATTTATAAATCAGAAATCTAAGTTTTTTTTGCTATATAGGTATATTATATGGCAGTCCCATTTTAAGTGCTGGTCTATAATTATACCTAAATATTTGGATGTTTATGTTTCCTGTATGTCTAAATTTTGACATGTTTTTTAAATTGAGGTCGATCAGCCACTGTTTTTGAAAAAGCAATGTAGTTTGTTTTGTTAACATTCAAAAACAATTTAAAAACATCCAGCCAGTTTTAGACATGTTCTATTCCAGCTGCAGCATGTGTCTTGACAGCTTCCTAATCTTTATCACTGAAGACTAGCACTGTATCATCAGCATATGATACAACTTTACCTTAAATATCAATTTGAGTTAAACTCTTAATGTATAAATTAAATAGTATAGGTCCCAGAATAGTCCCTTGGGGCACTCTGATTTGTATATTTTCAGGGTTACTCACACCTTTACCTTTTGTTGTCTGTGTGTCAAATAATTTTCAAAAACCTTCAACATGATGCCCCTCACTCCACTCTGTTCAAGAACATTTAAGAATTTATGATGTGGCACCATGTCAAATGCTTTTGCTAGATCTAGAAATATAGCTTACATTTGTTACCAGTATTCATTTCATCAGTAACATATGAAATCATTCATGCATAGCATCTCCTGAGTTAAGACCCTCAGTAAAGCCATATTGGTGCTTGGGAAGTAAGTCATTAGTTTTTAAAAAATCTGTCAGTCTATCTTTCACACATTTCTCAAATATTTTAGCCCACATTACTAATTAAACTAATAGGTCTATAGTTAGTTATTAATTTTGGATTATCAGTTTTACAAATAGGTGTTATAATTGAAGTTTAAAATTGTTTAGGTATGATTCCTGTATTAAAAATACAATTAATTATATGCATTAAAGGTTCCAGTAAATACGGATGTAGTAGTTTCAGATGTTTTACTGTTATACAATCAAATCCAGGGGCACTATTGTGTTTTAAACTATTTATGTGTTTTATAAAATCATTTTCAGAAACATTGATTTTTCAGTGACACAGGAAAATCCACATTACATTCAGGGATATTTGTGAACATATTAGTGCCAATAGTTGATAAGTAGTTATTGCAGTAATTCGCCATTTCATTATCATTTTCAAATTCCTCATTATGTTGGTTGACAATCTGTAAATTGGTATTATTTTTTTTTATGATTTTCATTAGTTGCTTCAGATATTAATTGATAAGTTTTTTTCAGATCATTTTTGTTTTGGTTTATTTTATTGTTATAATAGTCATTTTTAGTTTTTGATATTAGTTTGTTTAAATTATTTCTAAATGTTTTATAGTGAATTTGTTTGTTAATAATATAGTTTTTTTGTAGATATTTTTTAAGTTTATCCCTAGTTTTAATAGAATTAAACCATTTGTTATCCATGGCTTTATTTTTTTATGGATTTTAATTTTAATATTTTAAGTGGGTATGGTTGTTATGTATTGAAACCTCTCCAATTGAAATCTGCAAATGAAAAGCATCTACAAGTCATTTGAACAAAGTTGTATATATGACTATGACTTATTTGCAAAAAGAAATCAATATGTTCAAATTGATGAGCATATTTCAGGCAAGAATTCAGTACTGTATGGAGTTCCACAGGGTTCTATTCTCAGACCCTTACTTTTTATCATTTACTTTAATTTGTGAATTAATCTAAGTAATATCATACAGGTGTATTATATTGATGATTCAACATATATTGCTACAGATAAAAATAAATCTGATACAATAGAAAGGCTAAATGAAGCAGAAGTTATGTCAAATAATTGGTTTGGTAGCAATGGTCTTACATTTAATGAAGCAAAAACTCAGCAAATGTCATTTTCTATCATTGCTAAAAGTGAGGAACAGGTTAAACTTTTAGGAATATATAGTCGTTTAGCAAAAGCTAATTATGCAATTAGACAGCTAAAAATTTCAATTAGACATTGTACATTTAAAAAATGGTCTACTTTTCATTATTTCATAGCATTATGACATATGGGGTTTTACTTTGGGGAAATACAAGCAACCAACTTAGGGTATTTATTGCACAGAAAAATGTAGTATGTATCATGTAGCTACAATAGTCACTGCCAACCTATTTTTAAACAGTTGGGTATTTTACCACTACCATGTTGTTTTATTTTAGAATGTCTTTTATACATGAAAAAACAAATAGGTAATAATAATGTTATAAGACAAAGCTCTAAACATTCTTATTTCACCAGAGGAAATTATGATATATCTTTACCTAATTACAGGTTAACCAAACTTTATGATTCTTACAGATATATCAGCATTAAACTGTACAATTCTCCACCTCAAGCTTATAAAAACTCATCTTTTAATTTATTTAAAATAAGAATTCGCA